TTATTAGTATAAATATATATGGGTGCACTATTTAATATAATATAACCTATGAAAGCAAAAGAAGTAATGAATAAAATGAAGAATAAAATATTTAAAAAATGATAATATTCTTTTATCTTATGCCATTATAATTACATATAAAACATATGCATATTATTATTTTAAATAATAATACAATAAATGTGCATGCAAATATTTTGCTAAATATTAAAAATTTTGATAAACATTATATAGATTATTGTATTTATATATAATTCATATTAAGTTAATTTAATAATTGAATATATATTTTTTCAATAATATACTGTAATTATATATAATTGTATTCAGAGGAATTATATATAATTTGTGTTTTAAATAATTATTTAAATTACTACCTTGTAATTTATCTATATATTATCCTATATAATTTATTTCACAACAATTACTTGTATTATATAATTTTATTTTCACCCAAATTACAGCACATTAAAGCATGAAAAAAAAATATTTATTCATATTACTATTATTCATTCTTATATTTTCTATTATCCAATAATATAACAAATATTGTTAGATTAATTTTATATTATACCGTATATTTTATGTTCTCAAATAATTGTTTCTGCTCATTTTAATTATTTTTATAAATCATATCATTTTTATATAATGTTATAATCAGAAATATTATCAATATTATACTCTTACAATTTTTTACATCATAACAATTCTGATATTCTCTTTAAACTATGTATTTAATCATAAAGATGAGGAGAATTATATAACATATTATGATTGCTATTTCTTGGCATAGATGTGAATAACTCTGATCCTTGTAATCCATCCAATTTTTCTTCTATGTTATTTAATCCTTTTCTTCTCCTTAATATTTTATGACGTATCCATGAACCAAATGTTGTAAACTAAATATTAAAGAATAAAAAATTATTTATTAAAAATAACATCTATTTACTCTAAATTATTATTTATCTTAAAATATTATCAGAAATGTTTTATATTATAAATATTTACAAAGAATATAATAATTAACCTCATATAAAACAAATAAAAAAATTGATATCAATAATGTTGCAAAAATTGTAATTATAATGGTACTTCCAATATTTTTTCCACGTGATGGTAGTGCATCTTGCTTACAAGGCGTATGAATTTCACTAACCACGGCATGAACTAAATTATTATACTTTTTTATATGTTCTTTAAGCACATTACAATAATCATCGTCTGTATTAGGTAAGCAGAACTCTTCTATATACTCCTTATTCTTGTACATTTCATATATGACTGTAAGTTTTGGTAAGTCCTCTTTTTTGATAGTTTCCTCAGAACTATTGCAAAAATTATTAGTCGTCTTATACATTTCTTTAAATATTTTGATAAATTCATCATAAATGTTTGGCATATGATTAATTCCTTTTTTATCATCTTTAAGAAGATCATTATATATCCAGTAATAAAGATATACACATCCTACTTTTTTAAAACTTTCATTATTCTCATTATTTATTACTCCTAAGTATTCTATAACTTGATGACATATTTTTTGTGGGTCATACATATCTCGAAATAAATGTTCTAGTCTATCTTTACCATCCTTACATAATTTCTCTTCCGTAGTCGTTCCTCCAACAGTTAAAGAGTGACATACGTATCCATCAAGTTTTTTTTTAAATTCTGAAAATTTTGATAATATTTCATCCTAAAAAAAAAAAAATAATGACAGAACAATAAGAATCTTCTATAAAACAAATTTCTATAACATTTATAGATTATATCATATGTTAGCTTTATTATGTTATAATTGGTATTTTAATAACTTATTCATACAAAGGAATCCATCTGTTATAAAAATATGCCCTTTAAGTATTAATTATATAGCAAAAAATTTACTAACTAAAGCTTATCAATTCGTATAAATATAGATAGATGTTATAAAAAATAAAGAACTCCTATTTTTGTATAACTACGTAATACGTATTAAAATAAGAGAGAAATGCTTAATCATAATAATTTATATAGACTACTATATAGTAATAATAACAAGTCAAACATAAGACACTTTTTTGATTTTTTTTATAATAGACATATTAAATATAAATGTAATCATTAAAATATATATATATCTTCTTAAAATTTATTATAAAAAATGTGCAATTTTAGAAATGCATCTATTATATTTAATAATATAATGATCCACTATGCTTTGCCAATTTGAATATATAAATAATGTCTCTCTCTCTGT